TATTTCCTGTAGGGCAGGGCTAGTTTTAAATTCCCTTAGTGTTTGCTTGTCTGGAAAAATCTTGATTTCTCCATCATTTATGAAAGTTAGTTTTGTAGGATACAAAATTCTTGACTGGCAGTTGTTCTGTTTAAGATGACTAAAAACGGGACCCCAATCCCTTCTGGCTTGTAACGTCTCCACTGAGAAATCTGCTATTAGCCTGATGGGTTTTCCTTTTTAAGTAAGTTGCTGCTTTTGTATTGTAGTTTGTAGAATTTTCTCCTCCGTTTTGACTTTGGCCAGGTTGATGACTATGTGTTTTGGAGATGTCCTATTTGCTATGAATCTTCCTTATGTTTGATGACCGTCTTGTAACTTGTATCTCAATAATTTCCTCAAATAGGTTTTCCATGCATTTTGCTTTTTCTTCTTCTCCCTCCGAGATAACCTATAATTTTTATATTGGCTTGCTTTGAATAGTCCTATGCTTCTCTACATGAGTGTTCATTCTTCTTTATTCTTTTTTCTGCATCTTTGACTGACTGGGTTAGTTCAAAAGCCTTGTCTTCAAGCTCTGAAATTCTTTTGCTTGGTCTAGCCTGTTGTTGAAGCTTTCTGCTTGCTGTATTTTGAAATTCCCCAAATAACTCTTTCATTTCTTTAAGTTCTGTTATATCTTTTCTTGTCTATCTCTTTAGAAAGTGTTTCATTTTTCCATTCATGTCCTAAAACATTTTTTTGGCTTCTTTGTTTTGGTTTTCAACCTTCTCTTCAATCCCATTCATCTTATTCGCCATCCATATTCTGAATTCCATCTCTGACGTTTTGGCAATTTCCTTTAGGTTGTGGCCCGTGGCGTGGCTGGAGCCCTGTTGTGATCCTTGTTGTTTCATGTTGCCGGAGTTCTTGCTCTGCTTTCAGCTTGAGCGCAGCAGGCAGCAGTGACAGCCCGCATGGGTTGGGAGCTGTCCAGGACAGACCTGCGGGCGGCGGTGCCGGTCGGCCCCGGTGGCTTGGCCGTGGCCGCGCGCACACCTGTCAGCCCCTCTGGCTTGAGAGCCGCCCCATTCAGATCCGCCCGCGGCCGCTGCGTTTGTCGCCTGGGCGCTGGCTGGAGCGCAACTCTGCGGGTCCTCCCGCAGCTGGGACTGCAGTGATCGCGAGGGGACTGAGCAGCCCGGGTATTCTCCCCCCGGTGCCTCCCCCGCACGGTGCCGTCTCCCCTGCGCAGAGCAGGTAGCCTCGCTTCCTCCCCCGAACGCTGGGTGCCCCCTTTCGCCTCTCTTCTGATTCACAAGCTGGCTCTTAGAGGATAGATCTGGAGGTGCATATCCACTTGCCGCCTGCAGCCCTCTCTGCGACGGCGGCCTGCGCAGGCTGCCGCTAGTTCCCCCACCTTGCCCGCCCCCCACCCCGCCAGCGAACGAGTTCTAAACTATGCGTGTTGCTCACCGCCGCGGCTTTAGTGGCACGGCTGAACCTCGCCTGGAAGCTGGAGATCCAGACTGCGCTGGAACGGATTTCTCTAACGAGCCAATGTCACTAACACTAATCACATTTCTGCGAATGGTCTTATGAAAGAATCACAGAATCACAAAAAATGCCAATAAGAAGAAAATTATCTTTTCAAGTATTTTATACTGAATCTAGGCAGCCAGCGTGACATGTTTTTCTCAAAATGAGGCAATATTTTATATGTTTGTTTTGACCATCTGATGAGAATTGGGTGGGTCTTTAACGTGGCATTTTATCAAGACAAAGACCAGTAGCATTCATCGTATGACTAGCGTGTGCGTGTGTGCGTGTGTGTGTGTGTGTGTGTGTGTGTGTGTGTGTGGGACAGTGGCACCGCTCACTCCTCACAGTCTTGAGGGCCTGGACTCCATCCGGTGTGACAGTGGCACTAACAATAGTCCTGTGTTTGTATGCATGGCAGCTCGTCTCCATTAGACACTGAAAATAACTACGTAATGCTGTGAGGTGGTAAAGAGTCTTCATGGAAAAATTATTTTATTCTGTCTGGCCTTGAAGAGTTGCCTGGACCTTGAAAACTGGAAGGAGGTAGGCGCTTTCCATAGCGAGTGGACGTTAACCAAAAGCCTGGAAATGGCGAAGGTCCGGGCTTGATTAAGAAAAGGTGAATAATCCAGTGTGGCTTCGAGGTAGGAAGAATACCCAGAGGGGAGTAATGGGAGCTCTGCCAGTCACACTGGAAGCGTTTTGAATTTCAGAAGGAGACATTTGAACTTCGTTTTATATGTCATGGGAAATGACATGGCCGAATCCGTGTTTCAGAAAATGATGTCTATGTCTGTTCCGAGGACGGACTGAAGAAAAGAGGCAGGAAAGAGGGAGAACATGTAACATGTACTGGGAAGCCACAAAAGCCTGTAGTAGGACAGGGGTAATAAAAATGAACAAGCAATGTGCCAACTTCAGTTGTAATTAATTGACACTAATTGTAGAGAAAGGATTGAGAGGATTTGGTGATGGAGTGAGTGAAGAGAGAGATCCTGATGATGATGACGAAGAAACGGGGAGAAGGAGAAGGAAAAGGAGGAGAAGGAAGAAGGAGAAAGAAGAAGAAGAAGAAAACTGGACTCCCTGCCCTAGTTTCTCCTATAATATGACTTGGTGAAGCTTGGAGTAAAGCATAAGATAAAGCAAGTTTGGACTCTGTCCCGTAGAAACTCAAGAACAATGCTGTTTATACCTGATCTACATATTGCCCCCTTACCATTGTTTTGTGCCTCACGACGGGGCCAGCTCGTAGTGAGGTTACCCATAACGTTTCATCGTGGTGTGTGGATGGCTGATTACTGAACAGGCTGTGGAGCGCAGGCGCATGGGGAGATGCAGCTGCACAGGATCTATGGAATACGCACATCTTGATTATGTTTTGGCTCTCAATAGGTGGTCCCCACAGAGGGATCTTATTTTCCTACTTAGGTGACACTTGGGACTGTTGCTGACTTTAAGTCTTCTGGTCAGTGGGTGGCAGTGTTGCATAGAGGCAGGAGCATAGATCCTGTAGTCAGACGACTTGTGAGCAATTCCTGGCAGTGTGGCTGCACCTTAATCCCCAGGGCCCCAGCCCTGGGTTACTAGATCATCTTCCATTTTAAGTATAGATTCCTATATCCTTCCCCTTGGAGATACTGATTCAGTCATTCTGGTAGGGGACCCTGAAACAGGGGAATTTTAACATTCCATTTTAACATTCTAGGTAATATCGCTAGTTAGCTAAATTTGGGAGCTAATGACTTAGTCTTTCTGAGTCTTAGATTTCGTAGGATTGCTATGAACGTTAAATGAGTAAATACATCTGAGTTTTATCAACTTTAAATCACAATAAAGTAGAAATCGTTAATTAGTTTATTTCTTGAAATAACTTTTCTATTGCTTTTTTTAAAGACTTCAATTTCTCATTGATTCCAAGCTTGACTACATAAAACCATATTTGTTTGATTTTTATGTATTGTGATAGCAGAGAGAAAACTGGCAAATTCTGACCAATCTAATACATAAAGCATAGTAGTCACTTAATAATAGTTTTAGAACTTGAAGAAATGGTAGAGAGAAGGTCCTTGCTTGACTTTTTTTTTTTAATCTGAGGAATAAATGCCAGTTTTTAGAAGTAGCAAGAAAATGTACACAGAAATTGCTTCTATATATTTTTAATACAAAACACACATTTGTATTAGCACAATAATTTAATTTACAAATATATTCTTACTTTATGGTTTTAAGAGCAATAGCTTAAGTTAAATGCACTGTTTTCTTCCAAGTCCAAAACAAACAAAACAACACCTAACATCTTTGTTTCAATAAATGGTGATTTCAAAATACATCTTTTTAACTGCGTATCTAAGTTAATGAGATTTCGGCAGCTCAATGCAAACTATGTATAATACTATGCAGCATAAATGTCAGTTGACCTTGAAGCTTATAGCTTGTGGAAATCAGTGTCATGACCTTTATCCACAGTTTCTGTGTGACTAGAGTTACCAGGCTTCCCGGGCCCCAGGGATTTTCCAACACAGAGGTCCCCTGGTTTGCATGGCAGTGCCATAGTGTGTCCCCTCTGCAGGCTTTCAGTTTTTGTCTTGCGTGTGTGGCCTCAACTCTGCGCCCGGACAACTTCCGCATCAGTCCAGTCTCAGCCATTCCTTCTTCCCTGGCCCGTCAAGTCTCCCAGAAAGGCCGAGGTGCCCACCCAGGGAGCCAAACTTGCACATCCTTCTGTACTTGATGCCATCTTTCGAGTCTCTTCAGCCAGGAACCAGTCACTTTAGGCTATTAGCCTGAAGGTCATTTAGAAGATTTAAGTAAATATCTGATTTGAGGAACCTGGGATAAGAGTCCTTTTCCATAAGAGTATATATGACTTTTTGGGCTTCATCAAAACATGTAGGGGCTGCTGCTTTAATCTTCTTGGCTGTAGATTCTCGAGTATGGAAGTCAATATTGATCTAAAAAGAAATCCTCATTAGTTGATATACATTTCTTATTTATTGCAAATTTTAAGACATTGCTATGTCTTTTGAAGCACCTAAAAGTGGTTTTAAGCCCTCATTTAAATGGGTTCGAATATCTTTTGGATGCTTTTTCTAAATCTGCTCTATACTAGGAGTGGAGCAGACAGAAAGAATATGACAGAAAAGGTCTTCTCCAAGGCTCATAGCATAGTTGGGAGATGCAAAAGAGGCAAACATGAAAAATTTAAATATCCAAACTAGGTAGTGCATATATTGCAAAGAGTGATGTGGGCATTTAAGAGTTACAGGAGGAGAAGATTCTTTGTGTGGCTATTTTCTGCTTGGACCCAGACTATCTGGAAAGTGGTACTACTGCTAACTGGAAATATTTTTTGCCTCTGTAATTGTATATATTACACTAATCTGCATTTTATCCTTATCTAAGATGAGGTAGATCATTAGGGACTCCCTGACATGCAATTCCGGCCAGTAACACCCATGTTCCTTCCCCTACCCCATAATAGTAGCTAGTTTTGCAAAATCAATCTCTCCATTGGATTGTGCTGAAATCTTCACAAATACAGAAAATTAGATTTTAGTTGTACTGAACTATATTTATATACTTAAATATATAGAAGTAAAATCATGATATCCAAAAAGGATTTCATCTGGTTATGTATGTTGCATGTTATTTCTGTGTGTAAGTTCTTTTACACGGAAATTGATGAAATGAACGTAATACTCACTTGTTTGGCAGCATCTGAATGCACAAACGCTTTATATATCTTCTCTGCTTTGCAGTGCAGAAGATCAGACTCTGTTTTTTTATAGTCTTCACAAGCCAGCCAGAACTCAATATTCTCCTCACTGAACTCTGACTTTAGAAAATTTCCAAAGACATCTTGACCAGCTAAAAATAAAAGGGTAGATTGAAATAATTAAGGTAATTGAGCCAATGAATGAATAAATTGAAGAAGAAATTTATAAGAAAATTACTATTGCATTCTTTTTGTACAAAGGCAAGAGATGGCTACTGCTGAAATAGCGAGATGGGGAGGCCTTAGACTTTCTTTCATTTATAGAGAAAGAATCTGGGGCCAGACAAACTTGTCCACAGTCACACAGCTGCTTAGTGGTGGCTAGGGAACACCCTCTTTTCTTGTATATAATAACTCTTAGCCAGAGTGTAGAGTATGTTAGGGAATCAATCACTGGCAAAGGGCATTAACATCATGTTAATAACTAGCAAATATAATTTCCCCATCTAATTCATATTAGCTAGAAAATACTAGGCCCTTAATGTTACCTATGTGCCTGATGTACTGATTATACTTGCTAGTGTTTGCTGAGACTTTTATAGGGGCAATTTCTATGCCATTTATTTATTTAACTGAATTATAAATTAAGTCAGATAATAAGATGGGAGAACTAGGTTGAACTACTTTATTCTCAAGCAAGGGTCTTTAGAGTGTTTGTAGGGAGAAGAGGTTCTCTAGAATC